TCAATTACGATCTAAGAAAAATTATCGATCTTCTCAAAGATGTAGTTTAGAAAACTAGATCTGCATCAAACCAAGCAAGATCTACATCAATCCACACCGTTGACGTCGTCCTTGTCGCTGCCTAACTCCGCTACCGCCAGAAGTTAGGGTTGTAGAGGAAGAACACCCACAATGGTATGGGAAAAGGCTTGAGAGAAGAGAGAACTATTGTGAGTGTTGAAAATCTAAAAATTTATGTCAACAAACAGTGAGAGCTTCTGTCTTTAGGAGATTTTCGGCGACTTCCTTTACACTTCCAAAGTGTAGATGTGGACTTTTATGTTTACAATAGGAGTTTTGAATGTTTCTCTTGTAAATAATAATTAAAGGCCCATAGATGATAAATCAGTGTAAGACAAAATCTCAATTTTAACTATTTTAAAAAAAATAATTATTGTTTTATTCTTTTATTTTCACATATTACAATGTTTATGTAATATATATATATATATATATTTAACACTTATATATTTTCAACAGTTGTATTTTTAGAGGAAATTTAGTGTAATTTAAAAAAAAAATTAGATCAATGGTAAATTTTTTCATAAATCCTATAATTATTTATTGAAATTACCATTGAATTATAATTTTTTCTATTTTCTAATGATCATCAAAAATGCTAGTGAAAGCTTTATGGTTAGATAATGTTGACCGATAAAGAATGACTCATCTAATATGATGTTTTGGAATTCTTCATTTGTAAAGAGTGCTATGTTGATAGTCATATGATATGAATTATTTAATAATTTTCTTAAAAGTCATTATTGAAAAAGAAAAAAAAATGGGAAAATTAATAAAAAATTGTCTCACTTCTCTTGGCGAGCTACCATAGCTCTAAACTAATTGAGCAACCACTATAAATGAAAATATTACATGGAGCAAATTAATATTACTTAAAAATTTAAATAAAAATATTACAAGGATCAATCACTATAAATGAAAATATCAAATGCAAATATTACAATAACTTATTTGATAATCACAATTGATATCACTTAAAAATTTAAGTACTTCTTAAAATATAAGATAAAAGTTAAGTACATTTTAGGTTATATAAAACTTACTTAATTCTGATTGACTTTATAAATACTAAACACAAGTGTCGATATACACTATTATAAACTCGCCACTGTTGTCACTACCACCACCATGCAACCACCACCACCACCATCATACAACCGCCACCGCCACCGCCACCGCCACTATCTCCACTACTGCCACCACCATTATGCCACTGCTACCACCACAACCATCACCATCAAGCCACCACCACCTTCATTACTATTGTCATTGTTGCCATAATTGCCACCATCATTACTATTGTCATTGTTGCCATAATTGCCACCATCATTTTATTATCACCACCACCACCAAAGTCGCCATTGCAATTACTACCACCACTATAACAATTATGACAACCCTTCACCTCCACAAACATTGTCACCATTATCATAACCACCACCACAACAACCACCATCATTACACCGTCGTCGCAACCTTTTTTTTATCTCCACAGCATTACCATTCTATTATCACCACAACCACTATCTGTCTATCTTCACCACCATTGTCATCAACATTAGAGCTAACACTGCCTCCTCATCTACCACTACCAGCTCACCATCACAATATAAAATTTGAAAGATATAATTTAAAAATAATAAATTTCAAATTTGATGTTATACAATCAAACAACTTATTTTAGTTCAGCACTAAATTTTTTATTAAACAGATTTTCAATTTAAAAAATTCAACATTTAATTTTCAGTACTTAATTTTTAGTTTTCAGTTGTTAATGATATCAAAAAATATTTCAATTAATAATTCAAGTAGTTTTGTTATTGTATATGAGACAATTAAGAATTTCATTTTTTTTAGCAAATTTTGTTAAATAAAAAGAAGGATGGCAAGGTTCGCTACTTTTTCTTAATAGAAATTATGTTTCCTAGATTATCCTTCCTTTTTGTTCTAACAAGGAGTATTTGTAATTTTCAAACCATATGAGGGGTAATCCGTATTTTAGGCAAAGTATTTATAATTTACTCTTTAATTATTAGCCTTGTATTAGAAATCTACTTTAATAGTAAAATTCACTACACTAATATTGTGCTAACAAATAAGATAAGATAAAGAATTCAGGATGTTTGATAACCAGATTCAGTACTTAAAATTGAATGTATTAAGTGATAATCAATTAAGCTCGTTGATAATCACAATTGATATCACTTATGAATTTAAGTGCCTCTTAAAATATAGGCTAAAAGTCAAGTCATATAAAATTTAGGATAAATTACACTTTGCACCTCTACACTTTGCACCAAATCTCACTTTGGTCCATACACATGAAATCGTAACAGTCAACCCCCTGCACTCTTGTTCATATTCCATTTTGGTTCCTATACATAAAATCGTGATAGTCAACCCCTGCACTTCTAGTTAAGTATCAGTTTGCCCCTCATATTACTTCATTGTTTAAGTTTTTAACAGAATTCAGTTATGTGATAAACATGTAACTATGCAACGAGGGTAAGAAAGAAAAATCATTATCATTTCCTACCAATATACACTTTGTCTTACGTGATAAGCATGTGAGAATTATACAATATAGGGTAAATTACGCTGACACCTCTTGAGATTTAGTCCAATTACATCTCATTCCCTAACGTTTTGGAAATTACATTCCCACCTCTGTGGTTAGTAGTCTCATTTTACAAACCCCCTGTTATGTAAAAGGCAACAACTTCTAGTAGAAAAATAGAGAAAATTACATTGAAAAGAAGAAGAAGAAGAAGAAGAAGAAGAAGAAGAAGAAGAAGAAGCAGAAGAAGAGAGAAAGTAAAGTAAGAAAATAGAGAGTACATGAGTTCAATGTCTTCATTTTGTCTAAATAATTACAAACAGAGGCTGCAATTTTCCAAACGTTACGGGGAGATATGTATTAAACTCAAACCTCAAGGGGTGTAAGTGTGATTTACCCTATAATATATATTTGTATGTGTATATGTATGTGTGTTCATATGTTGAAAATTAGAACAAAGAGGTAACAAAATAGAGCTTTTGAAATATATATATATATATAAAGACAGCTGATAAATTAAAGACTCCGTCATTGTGGAAAACAGAGTTTCATTATTGCAATTTTTGCAAAAACTAGTTCATCTCTTTAATCGTTCACAATTTGCGTTTTGTTTTAGCTGAATACAATCAAAAGTTGATGTATAAATTTTAGGACGAAATATGTATAGACGGAAAATTTGTGTCATTTTCTTCTTTTGCCCTCTTTTTGTAGTCATATACTTGTCACATTACTGACTTTTGTTAAAGACCTATAGAATGGAGTAACAAAAGGGAGATATTAACACTTGATTAGAACTGCAAGGAGTTGATTGCCACGATTTCATAAGTGCAGAGAATTAACTGTCACGATTTCATGTATAAGGACCAAGGTGAGATTTGACCAAAAAGTGTGAGGGGTTGACTGTCACGATTTCATGTGTAGAGATCACAGTGAAATTTGGTGCAAAATGCAGGGGTACAAAGTGTAATTTACCCTAAAATTTACTTAATTTTGATTGAATTTATAAATACTAAATATGAGCGTTGATATACACTATTATAAACTCACCACCATCATTGCTACCACTACTACCACCACCATTATGCCACTACCACTGCCATTGCCACCACTACTACCACCACCATCTTTGTTATTATTACCACCACTCTACTACCACCATCATGCCACCGTTACTACTACGACCACTGCCACTACTACCATCACCATCATCATTATTGTCATTATTACTACAATCATCACAATCATTTTATTACCACTACCATGCCACTACTATAGTCGTCATTGCCATTACTACCACTACTACAACAATTATGACAACCCTTCACCTCCACAAACATTGTCACCATTGTCGTAACCACCACCACAACTATCATTATGCCGTCGCTGCCACCACCTCTTTTTATCTCCACAACATTACTATTCCACCATCACCACAACCACTATACATCTGTCTACACCACTATTGCCATTAGCGTCATAGCTAACGTTGATGCCTCATCCAGTACTACTAACTCACTATCACAATATAATAATTGAGAGATATAATTTAAAAATAATAAATTTTAAATATAATATTATACATATCAAATAACTTATTTTAGTCAAACAATTAAATTTTTATCAAATAGATTTTTCGTTAAAAAAATTCAACATTCAATACTTAATTTTAAGTTTTTAGCTTTATTAAATATCTTATTGTTGTTGAAATTTTATGGATTATTTACAAAGAGATCCTCTAAATTATTCAGAAGTATCATTTTAACTTCCTAAACTTTAAAAGCATACAAATGATCCTCTAAACTATTGAAAAATATCATTTTGCCCCTATAATATAAAAACATACAAATAGACTCCTAAACTATTGAAAAGAATGATTTTGTCCCCTAAACTATAAAAATGTACAAATAAACCTGTAAATTATTGGTGTGTTTCACTTTAACCATTTTCGTTACTGGTCTAGTTTATACATTTTTATAATTTAGAAACATTTATGTACTTTAATAATTTAAAAAATAAAATGATATTTCTTAATAATTTAAAATATCTATATATACAATTTTTAAAATTTAAAACCTCATTTAAAAAGTCCTAAATAACCTAAATTTTAGGGCAAATTACATATACCCCTCGAGGTTTAGCAAAATTATAAATACCCCTTGAAGTTTGAGAAATTATAGATACCTTCCTGAATGTACTATTTGCATAACAAATTAGGGGGTAAATTATTATGAAAATATAAACCTCAAAGAATAATTTGTTATGAAAATATAAATCTCAGAAAGGTACCTGTAATTTTCGAAATTTCAGAAATATCTGTAATTTAATTAAACCTCGAATGAGGTATACCTAATTTGTCCTAAATTAAGTATTCAAAAGTGTTGTCTTTTGATTGGAGGGGCCACTCCTCTAGAGTTTACAGACCAAAGATAAAATGCAGTAAATTTGCATAAATTTCAAAACCTAGCCAGGGCCGTCGACCCCCTCAGCCCCCTTTGGGTCCGCAGTTGTTTGGTTGGAATGCTGCTGCCTTTTCAGTTTGTTTTCTTACCTTTGTGAGGGATTAGGTCACTGTTTTGTGGTCTGCCCTTAGGCAGATTCGCCAGCAGGTGAAGCAATATAGTTCGGTGCGTGAATGGAGATCTCAGCTTTTTTAGCATAGCCTTTACTTAAGGCATAAAATCTTCTACGCTGTAGAATGTCAGGCCTATATCACTTTCTTTAACCTTTTTTTGCAAATCAAATGAAAAAGCCCTAACGAAACCAAATCAAGAAACCGCAGAACACAACCTCGATGGTTCGATCAACCTTGGATACTCAAGCACACAGTGACGATTGGTACTCAATTTTCTGTAATTCATTAAACACACTCATATATGAGCATTTTTACATACATACATGTATAGATTGTGTTTATTGAACTCGTGTTGTCATCGTAGAGGGAGAAAGTAGAGAGAGAGAGAAACAGAAGAAATGGCAGAACAGAGCTTTCTGGATTTGAAACCCAAGTTGAGAAAAATTCGGTAATCTATACCCTGTAATATATCAAACTGTTATTGTTTAGATTACATATTAGGGTTACTGTTACAATATGTTTGCAAATTAGGAGAGAAAAGAAAAAGAAATGATTGTAATTTCTCTCTTTTTTGTTTGGTTAGATTTTATAAGAGAAAGGAAAAGAAACTGTTATATTATCAAAATAACTTTTTATATTTTGTTAATTATTTTATTTTTTTTTATTTTTACAGGGACAAAATTAGTATTATAAAAATATAAGAATATGCTGGTTTTTTTTTTTTTTCTCTCAATCTCTCTACTTTTGGAAAGATTTTGGAAAGATTGAAAAAGAGGGTTTTGGAAAGATTGAAAAAGAGGGTTATAAGAAAAATAAGTCTCTCCGTTTCTCCCCATTTCTCTCAACTTAAGTTATTCAAACAAGTAAGAAAAATATATATCTCTATTTCTTTTCTTTTCTCTCCAAATCACTCAATCCAGACATAGTGTTACTGTTTTATACTCTGTAATCCGGTAGGTTTTTTTTTTTTTTAAACCAAACACGTGATTTTGAAATTCAAGTTGTTTTGTGGATTCATGCTCTCCAAGTCATGTTTTCAAAACGCAGCTGAAGTTCATTTTCAAAAACATGACCATCTGAAAAAACAATTGAAGTTATTGGGTGGTAGAGAAATACCAAACTTTTTTCGTACTTTTGAGATTTTGTTGCTTAGTTTATATGATCACTTCCACTTGATCACATCATTTGTGCTGCATTAGTGCGTGACATGATGTTAAACAAACATAATTGATCATATTTGTATTGAATTTAAATGTTACTATCTTTGGCTAGTGGAATTAACGAGGCTTTGAACCGGCCTGCTAGGTTATGTGAGAAGAGAAAAAAAATATATTGTAATTCCTCTCTTTTTTGGTTAGATTTTATAAGAGAAAGGAAAAGATACTGTTACATTATCAAAATAACTTTTTATATTTTGTTAATTATTTTATTTCTTTTATTTTTATAGGAACAAAATTAGTATTATAAAAATATAAGAATATGTTGGTTTTTTTTTTCTCCCAATCTCTCTACTTTTGGAAATATTGAAAATGAGGGTTATATTTCTCCCCATTTCTCTCCATTTAAGTTATTCAAATAATTCTCTCTATTTCTTTTCCTTTCTCTCCAAATCACTCAATCCAGACATAGTGTTATTGTTTTATACTCTGTAATCTGGTAGGTTTTTTTTTTTTTTAAACCAAACACGTGATTTTGAAATTCAAGTTGTTTTGTGGATTCATGCTCTCCAAGTCATGTTTTCAAAACGCAGCTGAAGTTCATTTTCAAAAACATGACCATCTGAAAAAACAATTGAAGTTATTGGGTGGTAGAGAAATACCAAACTTTTTTCGTACTTTGAAGTTCATTTTCAAAAACATGACCATCTGAAAAAACAATTGAAGTTATTGGGTGGTAGAGAAATACCAAACTTTTTTCGTACTTTTGAGATTTTGTTGCTTAGTTTATATGATCACTTCCACTTGATCACATCATTTGTGCTGCATTAGTGCGTGACATGATGTTAAACAAACATAATTGATCATATTTGTATTGAATTTAAATGTTACTATCTTTGGCTAGTGGAATTAACGAGGCTTTGAACCGGCCTGCTAGGTTATGTGGTTTACAAAATTTGGGATTTTTTTGCATGTTGCTAGGTATTGTTCAATTTGTTGGAAAATTTGGGATGCATGAAATGTTCCCCTTTTTTTAGTTTTGTCAAGCATTGAGGTGCCTAGTTCATTGTCAAAATCACCTTTAAGACTTAAATCGACATGGGATGTGCTAGTAAAACGGATGTACATTTATTTGTTTTAACTGAGTATATAGCCCTTGGCAGAATGGAATGAAGGATGAAAAAGAATATAGGCCTAATTAATCATGCTTAACCTTAATTAATCAAGATTGTCGTAATTAATCACACTTGACCACAATTAATCATGATTTACTTTTTTATAAGATGAGAAATGATATACGACATTAACTCATGTCATTTAAGCACCCTAATTAAGCAAAATCAAAATTAGGTCAAATCACATTAACCAATGAGTCATGCATTTGTTAGAAATCCCTAATGTATCACAAATATGTGCTACACAATCAATTATATGGAATGTAATATACACAAGAATGAATTAAATATATAGTTGGACATGGGTCATTACATAAGTGCAAATATTTGCAATTTGTCTTATTAGGACGATTTGGGCAGATTTTAATTTAGGTAGGGGTGGGTTGCAAAGTAGGGATAAAATTGGGCTTAAGGGAGACCCTGTGCTTAGTTATATATTGATATTACTAAACTATGTCATTATTTCTTGGGTAAATTACATTGACACCCATGTATTCTTCTAAAATCACATTGACACCCCCTTTATTTTTTGAAATATCATTGCCCTCCCTTACTTTTATTTTAGAGTATAATATCAGCCATCTGTCAGACTTGTTGACTAACGGAAATTGTTAATCTGAAATTTTTTTTGTTTTTCCAAAATACGTTTTTTATTCTTGTTCACCACTACCCCTCAAGAACATAAGAACCTCAAATACATGGGATAGAAGGACCACTATGATAGAATTCATCATTCCTTGTAGACCCAACAAATCTTAGGAAGCATAGGTGTGGGTACGAACACGGGTGTGAGTACGTTACTGGTATGCCAATACGGGGGGAAAATGAAACAAGAGTACCGTATGAGTACGGCCTGGTACGTGTATAATTTTTTATTTTATAATTTATACTAGTACATTATATATAATGATTAAAAAATCAAATGTAAAAATAACTATGTATTTTAAATATTTTTCATATGTTTGATAATTTAAAAAATATGTTATATTTTTAAAGCTTTAAAAATAGGCACGATATAAACATTTTAGTAATTAAAAAAAAAAAATTTATGCCCCAAAGTATCCATGAAAGTACCCAAGTCGTACTCGTCTCGCACTCGAGCCATACTGTCTTGTACCCAAAGTATTTTGTGTACCAGACAAGTATTTTGCATACCCAATACACATGCAATTGTACCGGTATGCATACTGTGTAAGTACTCTGTGCTCGTTCGCCAATATTTTTGGAGTACCCATGCTTCATAGATAAAATCAAATATCAGCTAAAACTATCCATACAAATCGACTAAATGCTAAACGCTCATTTTGCGATTAAGGAATATTTTATTGCTATTTTATTATAAATTCTTATTAAAACCACAATGCACACATAAGAAAATTTTCTTTCATTCTCCAAGGAATATTTCAATACTATTTCATTATAAATGTTTATAGGGGTGTTTGGGAAGTTAGTTTTTAGGTTTTTTTTTTTGTTTTTTTTACTAAAAGACAAATTAGTTACAAAACAAAAAAAAACAAATCCAAACAAAATATCCCATCAAACCCCATAATCATTTCACTTTTTCTCTCACAAACATCACATCCAACTACAAAAAAATCCAACTATCTTCCTAAACACACAAAAATTTTTCTCCAATAATATCTTACAACTAAAAAAACCTACAAAAAAATCCACTTCCCAAACACCCACTATTTAAACCACAATACACACATAAGAAATTTTTCAAGGCAACTATTTATGTAGAATTAATTAAGAAAAATGATAGCACATGCCTTCAACTACCTTAGGTTAAAGCTTAAAAAAAATAATAGGAAACAAAGAACAAAAAGTTCTTGTTGTCTTGGATTTTTTTATTTATTTTTTTTAATTTTATAATCTGACTGAACTAAAAGTATAATTTCATAAATTAGAGGGGAGGTCAGTGTAATTTCGTAATTATCACTTTTATCACAGTATTGGACAATGTTAACTATTGGGGTGCTAGTGTAATTTAAGATAATAAGAGGGGTGATAGTGTTATGTCATAAGAATACAATGGATGTCTATGTAATTTGCCCTTATTTTTTAAATAACAAAACTACCCTTCTTTGTATTATATATAAGCATTTTAGGGTTTCATCCTGCTCTCCTCCTTCTAGATCTACCGTCCTGCGCCCAAGCTTGTTGCCATACTGATGTAAGTTTGAATTTTTGGCAAATCTTTGTTACATTATTTTCTTCTTTCTTTTTTTTTTTGCTTTGGAAAGTGTTATTTTTTCCCTTTTTTAATCATCTGCTTTTGTTGCTTTGGTTGATTCTGTTATATCATCGTTGTCATCGTCATCGTCATCATAATCATCATAGTCACCATCATCATCTCTCTCTCTCATTTTTAATCTTGTGGAGAAGTCCTCTTTTCCATCTAGCCACAAATCTAATTACCTGCATGATTATCGTACGCTTCTATGATCTTAGTTGGGCCAAACAATCTGGATCGCTGTAGGATCTTAAATTCAATAGGATTTTAAAGTGGCTATGATTTTAGTCATAAAATCGTCTAAAATCTCACTACAATCCAGATTCTACTATGATCCCGATTGTACCAATTTTTTTTTCTTATTATTTATTTCTTATATATGTATTTATATGTGTATATCTGTATAAGAGATTTGACTATAAACTCCTCCAAACATCTCCTCTAATTTATGTTAACATAAAAATGTATTGTATCATGTTTGTAATTTTTTTTAATAATTTTAAAATTAGTTAACATACATTGTCATTATTGATAATTTTTCCTTTTATTTTGCATTGAAAGTAAAATTTTGCAATCCTTGATCCGATTCTATGATCTAATCCACAAATCCCTCCTAATGATCGCACCTAGGATCCCAATTTTAACAACCTTGATTACCTATCTCTTGCCTTCAATTTTTTCTTTTCTTTTCTTTTTTGTTAAATGGAAAAGGGGGAGGGGGTATCAAGTATAGAGGGGAAATTTTGTGATCACGGATTCAAGGACCACATCACTAAAGTTTGATAGTAAGGGGTGGGTGTCTTATGAGATATGCTAGTTAGGTTTATGAGGGGGTCTTTTTTTTGGCTCATCTGTATGTGTCGTTATTACTACCACTGCTGCCAGAAGCATGTCACACACCACATTACCATCACAAATGAACACAATGATGATTTGCATTTGCTGCTTTTTTATGAGCTCTTATTTTCTTTTTTTTCATTCCGTACCACAATGTTAGATATCTGTATTCCTCCCATAGTCTTATTATTATTTTTTTAGTATATTTTGCTATTTGAAGTTTTAGTCAATTGGATGGTTTGCTTCACTTTTAACAAAAAGGTATTTAGATTAGCATTAGCCATGTTTATAACGTGATTTAGGGCCCTTTTTGGTTGTAATTGTTGTAAGTTAAAGTCTTCAAAAGATGATGTCAACCAGTTTGTTTGCTTTTGTGCCTCTCTGGTTGTAGGGTCGGTGTGGGGTGTACATAAGTGCACATGTAGTGGTTTTATCATTTTGAGAATTTGAACATTGATTTTATTTGCAGAATTGTACTTATTTAAGAGAATATTTCATCACACATGTAATTCTTTCTACATTTGCAACCAACACCATGTGATGTCCAAGAGCTTGGCATTGTAGTTTTTATACTTAATATGTTACCTAATTTCAAGGCATCTTAAATGTGAATTCTTAACGTTCTTTGGAGATGACAACCTCTGGAGGATGGCTGACAATGAATTAATTCCAAAGTTTCTTAGAATGACAAAGTAATCCTTTTTCTATGTCATTAAATCTATTATTGCAAAGCCATCCTCTAGGTTGTCATCTCGTAGGGTTGACAATGAATTAGTTCCAATGGTGCTTAGGATGACAAAGTAATAGTTTTTCTATCTCATCAAATTTATTGCTGCTATGCCATAATCACCATAAATATTAGTTTTATTTCTTAAAATATGAGTGATGCTCTCATGGAAATAATCTTTCGTGGTTGGAGAAAACCACGTCTTTTGTTACTTTGATGCCTTACCTTTCCCTTTATTTTTTTGCACTGTAATGTTTCTTTTGGCATCTTCAGCAATTCCTGCCAAGTCTGCAACCTAGAATCTTAATTCTGCTATAAACGTTTCCACTCTACATTGTCATCCAACTCTTGTGCCCAAAAAATCCAATACCACAAAAATAAGGATAACAAAAGAATTGATATTTTTCTTCTTCTTCCTTTTGGCATGCTTGAATGCCTTCTCGTTGCAATACCAAGGAACAAAGTTTTTGAAGTTGAATGCATAACGGGAGGTGTTTAACCATCATGAGGTGAAGCGTAAGCCTCGAGGCGTAAGCATTTCAAAATTTTATATGTAGTAAATTAATAAAATATTTTAAAATAGTAAAAAATATTACAAATTAAATGTTTAGTATAAGTGCTTTTTCTCTTCATGGCATTGAACATTTCATTGCAAAGAAGTAAACTTGCCCTCGTTGAATGTGAAATCGACATTCTTAGCTTTAGTTATTGAGTTTCTCACTTGAGCCTTGGCCTTTTGTTTTTCCTTGATCGGTGATTTACTTTGTTTGTCCCATGAAATATCGTTGCAAAAGAGTTATTATTATTGTTTTGTTGTAGTTGTTTTTAATGTTTAAACCATGTATTAGACTAAGTTTAACAACCACCCTAAACAGGCTCTCTATATGTGTACTCCTTGTATGTTTATGTACAAAAGGCATAGAAGGAGCACCTGGAGTGTGTTGCACAAGAATTTGGAGACTGTTGCTTCAAAGTCAGAAGCCTCAATGCATTTTGTCATAGGCTCACCTCGAGGGGAGCCTCAATAATGCCTTTTAAAGCTTTGCAAAGAAGTTAAATGGTGTGGCTTTTCATATTTCTTGTTGTATTGGCCTAGAGAAAAAATAATAATAATAAAATAAACAAGATACTTGCCGTCTTTATAAACCTGAAGTTGATACATATGATGTTTAACATTTAAAGTTGGTCTTTGGATATTATTTGTTGGAATTTGTGTTTTATTGTTCATTAATTTTTACGATACATAGAATTTACCCTCATTCTGGCTTTTGTTTTCATTGGTTTTGGATAGAGAGAAACTGTTACTTTGCAATAAATGGCTGATTCGATTCCTGATGGTTGGCATTCCGAATATGAAATTGGTAAAAATGGTAAAGAAATTAAGGTAATCTAGCATCTTCATCTCATTCCCCTAGTGCTTCTGTCATCATTTTTATGTTAATGTTATTGGAACTAATGTCTTTAAATTATGAACTTCCATTTCTTATGACTGGTTTCCCCATTTTCTTCCACCAAGCATGTCTCTGACTTAGATTTACGAAATTTAGTTACAAAATTATAGAAGTTTGAGGTCAACTCTTGAATTTTTAACATGTTTGAGTTCAAATTCTTCACTTCCTACCAATAATGAAATTCTAGTGAAAACGATGTCTCAGTATTGAAAGTGTAAAATATTGTTGGGTATGTTGTTGCTTTGGAAAAAAAAGAAAAGAAAAGAAGAAGACATTATTACCAGGTTATGGAAAAGCAGTTACTACTCCAAGATGTCAGACTTAAGAGAGTTATCCACTGTGGTTGGAACAGCTTAGTGTAGAGCATAGCCTTTCCCATCACATGTTTTCAAATTGTTTCCAATGTTAAACTACTTAAAGGATGTAATTTTCTCCCTCTTTGTCTCACACCAGTTGCTGGATTTTTGTCTTGGGCCACCAGCGTCATCCCTTCATCTTTTGTCTTTCACTTCTTTGGATAAAGAACCATGTCCTAGAGGTACTAGAGAATCAAAACTAGTGGAAAGGAAAACCAGTAGGATTGGAAACAACATACAAGAAACCCAAATGGGTTGCATAGCTCGAGTTGGATTGAGATTCCATTTTAGAAGCCAGCCTCCTATGGTGGGGCAGAGTTTTACTAGGGTATAATTCTCTATTCTCTTGTGCATTACGTGATTCTATTCAATTTCAAACTTCCCACATCTTAATTTCCTAATTTTTCATTAAAATATTTGGTCTTCACTAATTGATGTGATAAAAGTATTCAGTTGTTGAGCTTTTGCTTCATTCCATTTAGCTTTCCATGCATTCATGTAAGTAAAAGGAAAGCCAAATTCTATTCTAATGGATGAGGTGAACTGTAAATCTTTGCTCTACAATTGTTAATTATTTATGGGCTCAAATGTCAAAAGTCAAGAAGTGAATGCTTGTTCAAGCCCTAAGGCCAACCACCTTGTGTGTACCACTGTAGAAGTTGGGTTTGTACCCGGTCTACCCCTTCGTATTTACAGGATGAACAATCAATCTTTCCGTAAAGGTTTTAAAACATGTAAAGCGGTAGAGTACGGGTATCGATCCATGGAGACAATTGTGTAATTCTAGCTATTTCAATTAGTTCCCAAATTAGTTTTGTTGAAATGGGTTTTGTGAGAATGACTAGATAATAAAAACCTAATTAAATAAGCAAGAATATTCAAGTTAAAGAATAAGAAATTGTAACCTAGGGATCCGAATCCACCGCTAGTTATGTACCCAGAATTCTCATCTTAGATTACACAATTGATTTGTTGGAATAGATCAATTTCTCAACTACAAGTTGGAAATTGAAAAGGAGAGTAATGTTGTGTTCAAAGCGAGAGAATGGCCTACCTCAACTAGCACAGATTGTCCACTCTAAACTAGGGTTTGTGGCATAACCCGTCTAGTGAAAGCATGGCCCGTTTCAAATTCTCAACACAACAACAATGAAAACAAAAGTAAAACATTCATTCACAATCACATAAATCGAATGAATAAAAGATAGAAACATGTTTATTCAAGAACTGAAAAGTTTTACAATTATTCCAATCAAATTATACAATACAAGTCTCTCAAGATGAAAATTCGGTTACTTGGCTCGGGTATGAAACCCTAAGTATGGTGCTTAGCCACTCATGGAGATGGGAGGGAGTGACAAGGAAATGGAAGAGATAGTGAACCCCATAGTTGTGCAAGTTTGCTTAACCTCTAGCCCTATTTGCTTCCATCTTCAAACCAAAAGCATTAGAACCCTTTTCCTTTCTTTTCTTTTTCCTTTTATACTTGAATTCTCTTCATGTCAGTTCTCATTTTTGCACACGCACTTCGAGGTTTGGCTTCTCGTGCAGTAGAGCTTTAACAGTAGGCTTTTGGGCACTAGCCACATTTGCGGCGGCTTAGCAGTGTTGTGGTGGTTGTCATGCATTTGCTGCTCATGCGGAGGTCTTGTTGCTTGTGCCGAGAGAATCTATGATCCCTTTCTCTTTAGTTCCACCACGTTTTAAGCATTTTATTGAGAATTGATTGTCAAGCCCGCACACACATAAAACACACAGGACTTGTTTGGTTTGTATCTCAAGATTGAGAAATTTTTTTAAAATTTTGTTTGGTTCAAATTTTTTGAATTTTTTTTTTTAAATTACTCTCTCTCCTACACATCAATCAATCAATCAATCACTTTCTCTCTCTCTCTCTCTCTCACATTCTCAATCACTTTTTCTCTCACACACATCTACTCAGCTACAACAAAATATCAAATCATCCCAAACTCCAAAACTATTTTCAAATATACAACCAAACAAACCAAAAAAATTCTAAACTCTCTCCCCCCCCCAATTTTTTTTTTGAAAATTTATCTCAAAACACAAACCAAACACACCAATAATATCTGCCAAGTAACTGTACCTCAAGGACTATAATTGCAAATTAGATGGCTTCAATGTGGTACCTTTTGGCCCAATTCGATCACGGTTTTTTTGTTAGCTGAATTTATTTCCTTTTTACTGTCTCGTTTTTTAATTTTTTTCCCCCCAAGAAAGAGTTATGTGCTAACAATTTAAATTTTTACTAAGTATACTGCATCTACGAAAAGCTATGCTGCTCAAACCACCAAAAAAAAGGATGAAGGTGGAAATAGTGATAATAAAAGAATGAATTTATGTAATTTGATCAAATTCGAAACTTTTGGCACTGTATATCATAGTGTCTATTGATTCTAGAACTACACTCACTGTTCCTTTTGATATGTGGCTTTGTAGTGTTATAAAAATGATATAGGCCAGACATTCTACAGCGTAGGAGATCTTTTGCGTTATGTAAACTATGCTAAAAGAGCTGAGGTTTCCATTTATGCACCGGTAAGCTTGATTTGCAAAAGTGGTACTTGTATTGAAAAAATGATGATACTTAGTTATGTTTACATGTGATCACCTTTGGTTTAGAATGCATTAGTGTGCGTCCTTCAGTTTTTACCATAATTTATGATTATCGTTTTTCTGAATTACTTGTACGAGGTATTTGGTGGTGATAAGATAAGGTTTATGCCAGATGTAGCTGCACCTTTTTATAGCAGCAGAATATATAATGTTTATTTATCCTGTTTCTCTATGAAGATGTCTTATGCATGTTGATTAGAAGAGATATGGAGAAGTTCCCAGTGTCGTCTTCTTGTTCATGACTTGATTATAGTAATACATTTCAATACATTCTAACCTTCCAAATTTCCAAAGCACCTAAGTACTGCATGTCACTTTTAAGTGTTTCTTCATGAATTGTGTGCGAGGGGTTCAAATCTTTAAATAGATATAGATGTTATGTGTAAGAATGCTGGCAAATAACTTTAAATTATTCATTCAATATCATCTTCATGGACACAGAAACAGACCCTCTAGTCAAAATGAAACTTATGTTCAAGGTTCTGAAAAGCGGTTGCGGTTGCGGTTGCCGTAACGGTGGTGGTGACGCGGTTGCGGTTGCGGGGTGTAATGGCCGTAGTGTAACGGTTGCAGTAACCGGAACCGTGAATTTTTTTATTTTTCGCACAATTTGAAAAAAACTTACCGGTACACATTTTTTTTCATGATCATATTTATTGGATTAAAAATAAATATTGATCAATTTTTATAAATTTTTAAATATGATCCAATATATTTCATATTTTTAAATCACTATAAATTGAGTTTTTTACATTTTATTTTAATAATTAATGACTTTATATTATACAAAAAATCAATCACTAACTATATATATAAGATAAACAATGACAAAAGTAAGAGAATAAATAAGAGCTTAAATATATAGATATATATACATATTTTAACCAAGCCAAATAGATAATGACCACGCTTATTATTATTATTATTATTTTCAAACAATATATAGATAGACACACACAAACAAAATGGTTTAGTGATAGCAGCTGAATAAAATAACATAGGTCTTACAGCTTCAACAAATCAATAACATATTCTTCATCTTCCCTCCTCTCTCTATCTCTTGCTCCTCTATTTTCTCTCTTTATCTTCCCTCTTCTCTCTATCCCTCTTCCCCCATTTTCAGTTTTTTTTTTGTGTTTTTTCGAAAGAAATAGTTTGGAACCGTTACGTAACGGTGCGCGACAGGCCGTTACGGCTGTTACAGTACCGTTACAACCGTTACGGCAGCCACTACAACCGACACACTTGTGAATCTTAATCACACTGCAAAAGCGGCCGTAACGGGTGGCGGTAACCGCCAAAACCGTTACGTAACGGTTGCGGCCGCTTTTTAAAACCTTGCTTATGTTGCAAGATTGTCATATTCAGGGTATGATAAGAGTGACTGTATTTTATTCAATAACCCAAATAATTTGGTAAAAAGCTGACCTGTAAATAGTGTCTCCCAAGTAAGCTGGTGTGGAGGAGTTGACTGCAGGTTTGAGGTTCACCAGAGAGTGGCAAAACACATAAGAGGCACCAAAGACAAAAACGGGATGATTGGGAGAGAGATGGAGCAGTACAACACACACACACAGAGCTCAACAAGAGATGACGTGTTCTAACCATGATTTAATGAAAGCAGGGCATAGCTAGCGGCATAGGAGCCGACTCAGCATCATCGCTACGTCCGCATTGGAGTGATCCAATATGTGGTTCCGCATGTTCCCCTTCTATATGTAGGATGCAAGCACATGGTTGTAATTAATTGTCTAGTTTGTCCGCCGTATTTTTGGGGATCTTGTCAAAAGTTAGTTAGACCATTAGGATTACATAATGATTTTAGGGAAGCCTAGTTGTGAGGTCTCTGTGTCTCTCATTAGGACTGACCTAAGGCAGCTTGACTTGTGCGGGGTTGGCACAACACCAAGGCAAGGCTCCATCTCTAGCCTTTGTGCCACAAGAAGCTAGAGACTACAGCATACCTAAAACTTTCCTCTCAACCTAGATACTTCCGAAGTAATTGAGCCGTACAACATCGGAACATGGTAATAAGACGCACATTATGACAACTATGATCGGTGTCTTAAAAAGCTCTAGGCGCACCGAGGCAATAAGGTCTCCTATAGCCTAAGCACAAGGTGTGAGGTGAGTTGCGTACCTCACCAAAGTGACGCAAGTTGTGGAACATTAGCAAAATTTTAATATAGGCGAAGTTTTCAACATAAATAAATATATATAAAATTCCAACAATCATAAAGTAAGTTTCACCATTTAAAAAACCAAAAAAGTAAACATTTAATCGGTGGCTACATAACGAAGAAGAAGATGAAAACGTGGTGGCTGATAGAGAGAACCCAATGACAGAAAGGGGGAACTATGGTTGGAGTAGAGAAGAAAAGAAAAAGAAGAAGAAGAGGCAGAAGAAGAGTAGTGGTTGGATGAGAAAAAGAAAGAAATTAAAAAAAGAGAGAGAACTAGCAAAGAAGAAGAAAAGAGATAGAGGGAACACAGCGAAGAAGAAGAGAAGAGAAGAGAACTTGAAGAAGACGACCTCAATCGTTGATGAAGAAGACCATGTTGTTCTCTCTTCCACATCTGTTGATCCCTTTTTTTAATCACTAGTTTTTTCTTAAATCACTTTTCTGGTTTCTTTTCACACGTGTTTGTTCATTTTATATTGAAGGGTTGTAATCCCCTGCTGGTATGCACACAAGCAATCACTTAAATCAAGTGTTGGAGTAAAACGCAACGTAAAGCCCATAAAGCCCTTGCCTTGCGCCTCAGCGCCTTTTGTTCTGCAGCTTGCCTTAATCTGCTTGGAGCGCTTTGCTGCGCCTCAGGCGTAAGCAAGCTTTTTAAAACACTGACTATGACAATGAGTTGTGCAGTTATGACTATGACGGCCATGAGATGGCCTAATCTCTTGAATGCTGTGGGATGTCAAGTTGGTGAGCCTTCATAGAGATGAGCTCTTAGGACTTGGATACAAATTGATGCAAGTCCTTTGATCTTATTCAGTTTAGTCTGAACACGTGGACCATACATGCCTCCATCATAGGTAACACGTGTAAGTCTTTATGCTGAAATGTAAGACACATGTCATTGCGTGCGTGTGCATGACACGTTGGCGGTAATGGTGGTATGTACAACGGGGAAGTGAGTTGCTATTCTGGTGTCCATCAACCATAGGTATAGACTTTCATTCTCCTGATAAGGTTTCCAGTGAAGATACTCACACATGGTTAGTGTGATTTTATGATCAATGACAGTATTTTAGATTCTACATTTAATATGAGAATTTGATTATCTATCTTGCAATACCTCATATGAAAGTTCGAAATAAATCTTGTAAGGAAAAATTGAGGGATCCATGGTGCCTTTTCACTGGAAAAGAATCCAAGAAAAGCAGATAAGATCCAGAATTTGGGGGTAGTTTGCTCGCTATCTGCAGATGAGTTTCTATTTTCTAAAATGGTTCACTTCTAAAAGTACAGAAAAGATTTGAGAATGTAATGCTCTCAAGTTGTTTTCTGTTATTAATAGACCAGAACTATATTAGTTAAAAAAATATATTTTTAAATGTTGTCGAAACCCCATCCGCCCAAACCTGCCCTAAACCTGTCTTTTGCATCATTATCATAATTTATTTTCCTTTGTTCAAATATAGAAAAGGTTTGCAAACACATTACATGTGGTTCCATGCTTTTCTTTCTATTTCTGTAATGCTCTATTTGGTTCACTTGAATGAGATGGAATGGAATGATCATTTCCTTACAATGGTGAATATTGATTTTATTTGCAATGTATTTTTCATTTTTTTTAATCAACCAAACATGGGAATGGAGTTTTTAATGGAATGATAATTCTATTCCACTGCATTTCAGTGAATCAAACACTACCTAAGTTCCTACCTAAGATCCTGGATTAAAAAGGGAGATTATGATTGTCAATCTGAAACAGATTGTAAATGGTTTTCCTTCAACAATGCAGGAATTCTGGGTTCTTACACGTGTTTCCTTATTGCAGAACTATACTCCTACAACTGTTGGCGCATCCCGAGGCAGAAACAAACAGGTCAACATTATGTCAACAACCAATGTTTGTTTGTTTGTTTGTTTTACATATCCTACTTCATCAGGATTAATATGCTTGTTATTTCATAGGTGTTAAGTAATTAACGTTTTCAATAGCTGCCAAGTCGCTTATCTGGTTCTGGTAATTCAAATAAAATACTAGGAGGCACATGGGTTACAAAAAATCTGGTTGTCTTGGGCTAGTGAAACTTTTGTAATAACAACGCAATAAAAATATAGGAGAGTTGGTACCCGGTAATACCTTTTTATGAATTAGTAGCACATCAAATCCTTGTATAGATATGAGCACTGAAGTCTTCAATTCTGTGAGATATTTTTTCTAGGGTAGATTACACTCTACCCACTTTAAGTTTCATATTTTTTCACTTTGGCCTTTAAAGCATTTTTTTCTCACTTTGACCCCTAATGTTTGTAATTTTTTAATTTACTCCCAAAACCAATTTCCATCCAATTTTGTATGGAAAATGCCATGCCGTTAAGTTTTTTGATAAATTACACTTTTCCGCCTTAATCTTCACAATTTTTCCACTTTAGCTCCTAAATTTTGTAATTTTTCCCAATCAAGTCCCCAAACCAACTTTAGTCTGATTTTGGACAGAAAATGCCATGTTGGTAGCCATGTGGCCTACAAATATATTATATTAGAAGTTTAAGACCCAAAATTCAAATTCAAATCTCCTTGTGACTGACAGAAGTGGTGTTCTTCAGCTATGCACCTTCACTCGTGTTGCCTCATACTTCTGATAGTTGTACCTGCTCAATTTTATGACCTTTGTTTCCTTGTTTAAAGCATCTAAAAGCAACAGGACCTCTTTGATATGGTGGTTGTGGCTGGCCATACAGCATGCTCTGTGATCATAATTTATTTTTAAAATCTTTTCTTTTGCTCATCAATTTGTCTCTTGCAGCGACCTAATCCCCCAAATGTAAGGAAAGAAGCTGAAAAGGCAGCAGCAGGGAAGCAACGCTCAAAAGGTCTCATCCATGATTCCAATCAAAGTAATGTTCTGACACTACTTTGCTGATCAGTCTCTCTCATGTGTTTGTGAATTTTTTCCCAGCGCTATTTCGAGAATTAATTCTCACGATGTTTAAAATTACTGACATGTGACATCCTCACTCCTAGATTACAACCAAAATGTCTTGCATTAATCCTGAAAGTACTGGTTTGGTTTAGTTTTTTAAAATTGTTTTTGTTTGTTTGTTTGTTTGTTTTTTTTTTTGTTTTGTTTTGTTTTTTTTTTTAAATTTTTTTTCTTTAATTAACTTTTTCATATTTTTTTACTTTTTAGATGAACTTAAAAAGTAAAATATTGGCCAAATTACACTTGTAGTCCCTGTACTTTGGCCCTTGTATCGTTTTGGTCTTTATAATTTCAATTACCTCGATTTTGATCCTAATTGTTTTTATTGTCTCAATTTAGTTCAATTGTAACAACTATTAGCATTTTTTTAATTGAATAATGTGCCCATGAACGTGTGTCATGTTTTTATGGGCAAAATTGTAAACTTGATCAATTTAATAAGTTAATTTCAACCAATGCAGTGAGCGTTTTCTATCAAAAATTGTAATAGTGTTATCAATTGGATCAAATTATACAAAATCTAAAACCAAGGGTTAAAATTGAGCCTAAGAAGCACAGACACAGACACGCAAACTCACAAATTTTTATAAGTTGTAGGGCACGACACATATTGAAGACACATGCAAAACGCATAATTTTATATATTTATTATGTGTCATATTTTTAAATATTTAATATTTTTTTTATGTCAAATATTTAAATTTATCAACCTCTTAGGTATGCTATTATAGTAATCATTTTTTTTTTTTGGTTGAAATAAATGGTCCTCATTGTGTCCCCAGCGTGTCCTCAATGTGTTCCAAGCGTGTCCGACTCTGTCCATCTTGTTCGACACATGTTCAATGCGTGTCCAACAAGTGGTCGGCGCGTGTCCATGTGTGACACGTGTCAGACACGCATACGTCACCTCTGGAGAGGTGTCTGTGCTTCACAGAATTGAGCCAATGAAAAGTGTAGAGACCAAAATGACATAGGCAAAATGTAGAGACTACCGGTGTAATTTGTCGTAAAATATTTGTGAAGAAATATGAAAAAAGAAATTCACTAAAAATATAAAATAAATATAATAAAAAAAAAAGCACGAAAATGTGCTCTTTTTTTTTCTTGGTGACCTAGTTGCATCAGAAGACTAACACTGAAAACTTAAAATCAGTTTTTGAATTTGAAAACCAAACAAAATGATACTATAAGACTACAAATTTGATAATCATACGACTGCATGATCACTTATAACGTTAACGTGTAGAATTGTTTGCTCTGCTAAGAGATACTCAGAGTCATATTCTTCAACCACAGGTGAGACAGGTCAATGTTCCTCTGGCTTAATGTGGCCTTCTATTGAATGATGCAGGTGATGAAAAAAGAGATAACCCAGAAGCAGCATCTCTGCCAGGTGAACTCCCAAAGAAAGTTCGTCATCATAAGGCCCCTAATTTAGCTTGTGTGTCTGATGATGAGGAGGCTCAATTCCATCTAAGCAACTATTACCAATAAAGATGCTCGGAAGTTGTGAGCCCCCTACTTATGGAGAACAAAACAATATCAAATGTAATCGTTAAGTAGCAGTTTGTGCGACTTTGAAAGCCATTTGGATTGTTTTTATGTTTTGTGTGTTTTTTGTATGACTCCCTGTGCATCTTTTAAAACAGAAAAGACTTAAATTATGCCTGCTTTTGGAAATCCTTTCTTGGTAGTGGGTGGTTTAAAAAAATTCATGAAAAGTAAACCAAAATCTAAACATAAAGTTGTGTGTATTTTCGTTTAGATTTGCATTTAATTTTAATAGCTCTTTTTTTTTTTAACATTTTAAATGCATCTAATTTTGATGTACTAAAAAATATTTTATAAAAAACACTAAAATACGAAATAAAAAGTTAATTAAAGACAAATAAAAATCCGTCCAAAAATCATGTCTAAAAAGTCGAACTGAACAAAAGATTTGTAAAATTATATTTGAGTTCTCTGTTTTCTAATTTTTTTAAAAAAATTTAATGAACTTTTTTCATATTTTAACTAAATTTTGTTACTTGTTTTGATGCATTCAATCTAAATATAATTTAAAATTTAAAGAGTAGTATGCATTCACATGATTATAAGAATTTCTTTTGTTGTCATCTTCCTTCCGGCAATGGTAATTATGGGTAAAAAGGACCAAAAAGAAGAATGGTGTAATTACGTTAATTTGTTGAGAGAAAATGAAGGTAGGTCAAAAAATATTTTCGAGCAAATCTTGGGTAGAGCTTGCGAGCGTGGTTCCAATAAGTTGATAATACTTAGTGTGAGATGAACTACGAGTGTGGCTCCAATAAATTCATAACACTTGGTGTGAGTTGAATCTGAAACTTGGAGGGATTACACCACCAGAGCCCAAACTAGATTCACTAAGCCAACCCCTTGGGGTTAACTATCAACATGCTCTTATATTTGCATAAGGTAAGATATTAGCGAGTTAAATGTTAGATTATAATACAAATTGATGTCTATGTTCAAACTTGAAATTTTACATAAGTACTTAAGTGTCCTTTCAAAACCAGTTAGAGTTCGTTTGAGATGTGGGTGGATTTTTTAGTTTTTTAGTTATTTTAGCTTGAGGCTAAAAAATTTCGTTTGGGATAGATTTTTTTGAATTTTGTGAGAGAAAAAATTAAATAATTATAGGTTAGATGTGATATTTTGTCCTATTTACCTATAATAATTTATTTTATCTTATATAATTATTTTAATCCAAATCTTCTTCCCAAACAAGCTCTTAGTTAGAGCCGGTGTTGCATATGGTGATGACGAAAACGTGGCCTTTGGCATGAGTCATGGGTTTCCTAAATTTTTCAAAATATTTAGGTGACAACTCTGTATTTGGCAAAGTAGTCCATTTTTGGCATTTTGATTCAAAATTGATTTTCCAAAAGAGTTTTTGGATTTGGACTCTTTGGTATCTATCTATTTCACATTGCACTTGTGAGATCA